CCAGCAGCGCTTTCTCAGTCTGGCTCTGACAATCCCACGCTTCAGTTCAGCTTCCTGGATCCTGTCTCAAGTTTACACTGGCTGATCAAGTACTGGACCCACCAGCAGCATCATGCTCTCTCTTAGCAGAGCACAAAGGGTTAGTTCATTTAGGACTCAAGTTAATTTTTTAATTCCATCTTTGCTATAAGACATTCTTGTCTCCCACCAAAGCCTATTAATGGTGTGACACTATGGAGAGGGGCTGGGGAGTGCTTATCCTCTGGTGTGAATTCACGGCAGCTTCTGTTTCCCTTTGACATACCAGATTAAGCGTGGCTCCTTCCCTTTCAGGCCTCTGCTAATCCTCTGGCTTCACACTCACTCTGCTCCTATCTCGATCCATCTGCCCAGGAGCAGAGTCCCCACAACAGGCACTGCTACCTGCCTGACTGCTCTCACACACTTGACTCTTTACACAAGGATCCCAACCTAAACTTTGTTTAATTTTAACTGATTCTCCTTCCTGTGCTGCTGCGCCAGAGCCCCTCTGGAGCTGATGCTTTCAGAACAGCTGGACTGGAAAGAGGTGAGGTAAGGGGGAAGGGGAGGAAAGAGGAGACAGGAAAAATAAAACAAATACAATTGCTTTTTGTCTTTAAAACCCTCTTTTTAACCCAACAAGCATCTCATCCAATGAAGCATGATAAGCATGAAGTGTTATATAAAGAAGATAATTATAAAGGGATTTAATGCTTGGCAGGCTCGTATTGCAAGGTTTATAGCGTAGGTAGCATACTCACTTAAACAGCCTTGTGTCCGGGTTTGCTATTATGCGGGCAGCGCGGCTGGGGCCAAGCAGAATCAGAAACAAGATTTGTTTTACAAAAAAAAAGAGCACAGCCCCCTTCCCACTGAGGATGGCAGCTCCAGTCCCACCTCCTTCCACTTCTGTCCCATCCCTGATTAATGATGTTGTCTGCCTGATTTATGACCCACCCCAACAGATTAGAGTTTCCCTCTTCAACCCTCCCCCCCCCGCCTCTTGCCCCCCCCCCCCCCCCAAAGGCACAGCCACACTCCACTGGAAATATTAGAGAATTATTAAATAAACATTCATACGTCATGTCTCTTCCCATACTGAGCTCATCGTAGTCAACGCTCAGCGGCCAGGTCCTGTTTGCTTTGGGGCTGACACCAAACAGCTGGAGTGATTCATGGAGAGGCTGGCTACAATGCTCTGTGCCATATATCATGCTCGCAGCGCTCCCTGCCCCGGCGGAGATAAACTGATCAACCACAACGGGCTGGAATGAATTTATGACAACACAAAATTGAGGAAAACAAATGGGAGGTGACCCAGTGGGCCACTAACCCAGACTCTCTCGCTGGCCTGCAATCTAGTCTGGTGGCAGAAAGCAAAATTGAACATTGGCACTCTGAATTAAGATGCTGGCTTTTAACCCCGGGGAACCTCGGTTTCAAAATGGCACCAGACCCTCACAGGCTGCATCTCAGGAAGGAGGGGGAGGAACACTTTTTGTAGGGAAGGTGCTTTTTGCAGCTCTCTGTGCACAACAGTTGAGCGTACAACGTTGGTGGAGGAGTCGAGGAGGATGCCTGGGCGATTAGGGACCAGCTGCTTGCTCTCTCTGATCAAAGCTGCATCTCAAATCAAGGTAAAGGAGCATTGCACCAGCTGAGCTCTGTCTGTCTGCTGAAGACCCCAGCTACTGCCTTCACAGTGGCTGGGGTCTTCAGCAGACAGGCAGAGCTCAGCTGGTGCGACGCTCCTTTCCCTCTCCCCGTGAGCCTTCAGCACCCCAGGGTGTCCCCCAGACCTCACGTCAGCAAGACTGGAAAAGTTCAGCAGGGCTGAGGAAGGAGAGGTGGGGCAGGCATCACCTCTCTCATTACCTGTGGCTGCCATCTGAGGTTCAACACAAAGCAGATAAGGTCAACCTGCCCAGGCTATTGATGACCTGGTACAGCACAAGGAGCGGGACAACAAATGCAGACTTGCCCAAGCCTAGTTGTTCTACATGCAAAGACCTAAGTTTAGGTTATCCACAAAAAACTAAGTTTAGATTAAATTAATTTGCTCAAGCAAAGAGCTTCAGCTGCGTGCCAAAAGTAGGACTTCTCGCTGTACTGTATTAACGGATTAAAAAACAAACAAAACCACAGCGCTCTCCTGGCCTTGAGTTATTTTTGGAAGAGGGGAGGGGGAAGCAACATCATTCTTATGAGAGAAGGATCAATGCACAGATCGCTGCTAACACTATTAGCCACTGCTCTAAACGGAGAGCACGGCTGACACAGGTGGTGAGCCACGTGCTTCCGGACAATTTAAAAAATGCTAATCAGACGCTACACGAGGTTTAACATGCCAATCAATAACCCTCAGATTTAAAGGCAAAAATTAAAGTTACAAACAATGGAATAAAGTGAAGCTGCCAAAAACTTCTTGTAAGCACCACCCAAAACAAGAAAAATGAAACCAATTTAGCTCCAGATTAAGAAACAGGAACTAGAGATGAATCAATTTAGCCTGTTGGGCTGGGTCGCCATATATCATGGCTCAGCAGTGGAGTGGGAAACAGCCAGACAGTGTGAAACCCTTCCCCCTCCTTTTCTGTAGGCTTCTAGCTCTGATCCCTGTTATCAATTAATTTAACAGAACCCCTCCACACAGACAAGCACACAGAGCATTCAGACTGCTTAAATGGCAGGACAGAAACTATTTATCACACACGAATCTCAAAGGAAAGAAGGAGAGGGGAAAAAAAAAAGGCAGAGAGGAATACTCCACCTGAAACACCATCTTGTTTTCTGATCTTCAGTGAAATAAAGCACCTTAAATAAAAAGCTTTCCCTGTTACTTTCAAAAAATGAACATTACTGGAAAGACTCCTCAAGACACTTAAGGCTTTTCCTGTAATTTCTATTGGCTTTTGCTGACTTTTCGCACCTTTTGCAGAGCTGAAGCTTTAGCGGGGCAAGGTTATTGTGAAGCAAGGTGTGTGTGCATACACGCACACACATACATACACACTCCCTCCACTTCACAGCGGTGTTAGCACGAGTGTTGTTTGGAAAGGATTCTGGGATCCTTCAAAAGGTGCTAGCTAAAGCCTCTTTGATCAGATTATTAAAGCTATGTCAATTTTATCACTTGAGCTCAAGTGTTCTGGAAAATGTCAAATCCTTTCAGCTCCTGCAGTTTAAAGATTTTCAATAGGAGTGGATCTGGGAGGGTGGAGGGTTGCTGGGCTGAGAGGCAGGAGGCCCAAAGGGAAGCCAAGCAGTGGCTGAGACAGAGGCTGGCAGATGAAGGGATGAGTCCTTGCCACCAAGACAGCATGCAACGGTTGGCTCACTCTAAGGACAAAGCTGCTTCTGCACTGACCTGCAAGCTCCCAAACTCAGTGGTCCTTGGCTAAAGTCTGCTCACTGAGAAGCATCGAACAGCAGACAGCCCACATTTGGGACATGCTAATAAAAAGCCTTGTAAAAAGAAAAGTGACGAGACAGCAAAGCAGTGTTAAAGTTTCCTCTGCAGCAGGGAGTTTCCCCAGTTAGCCCCTGACTGTGAACATATGCTTTGCCAGGCTGCCTGAACTGTCAGAGATCCCCAAAAGTGCCAGGGACATAACCTCACAAATCAGGACCGGGAGAACAAACTATATTAAAAAAACCAAACCAAACAAAAAAACCCAAACACTAACTTTCTGTAAAGTCAGTTTAATGCTACCACCAGATTTTTTCCCCATCCCAAATTATCAATGGACCTCATCCCCAAAATGTAAATGCCATCTGTTTAAAATCCACGATTACCTCACTGCTTCCACCTCATTCAAGCTGTTTTGTCTGTCACTCGATCTTGGGGCAACACTTTTTGTTGGACAATAATCAACTTAAAACATTGCCCCATCCCAATTAATGCAGTCTGTGGCAGCAGTGAAGAGCCTGTAGTCTTAGGCTTGGATCGTCCAATCTGCCTGAGCAGTAAGTCACCCTAGCAGCATGTGGAAGGAGGTTGAGGATAGAGGTTGTTACTCAAATGCACAGTGCAGATAAAACCATTTGTTTCTACCTCAGACTAGGCTGCAGGGTATCCAGCAAACAGAAAGGGACAAGAAAGGAGATGGCCAGGAGTCTCTGCACTACTGTATATTCAACCACTGAGACTTAAACTTCTTAATCAGCTGGAAGGGCTGCAGGTAAAAAAACTCAGGAACTGAGACATGATTTCTGCTAGCAACCATACAAAGGTGAAGTCTGGATCTTAAGGGAAAGAAATTCCATCAGTGAGGCTTCTGCTGAGTCATGGGGCTGCTGTATTCCCTTTTTCTGGAGAGATGGAAGGTGGAGCATGCAGGTACCATGGAGAAAATGGGAGAGAGACCATGTAAAGGGCTGCCCTCAGAAACCAAGATGCAGCAATAAGGTAACTTCTCCAGTAAAAGCAGGATTCCATGACACATTGGTAGCAGAAATCTTGCAAGGGGAATCATAAAAAATCAAAATACAGCTTGACAAGCCAATTGCTTTTGCCAGGTTAAATTGAGTTTGAATCTTCATCTCCCATCCTAAGTCCCAGCTTTAGTCTAGGCTGTTATGTACCACACATCTGGAAATGCACTGTAACTAGAATATGGTAGAAAGCATGGCTATATCTATTTACATATTTTAAAAGAAGGCAATTTACCGTGGAAAAGCCCTTTGGAATATGGGCTTGATTCCTTGTCACTGGGTACCTATCCACACAGATATCTGGGGGAGAACTCCCCACAGGCCCTCTGTGGACACAGCAGCAGCAAGTCAGGACACGAACAGCTCCAAGTCCATGCTTCATGTTGGAGCACAGCTTCCCTTCTCAGTGGTAAAAGCTTCAAATATGCCTACCTGTCCTGGTACCATGACAATACCGTCAGACTAGCACTGCTTCTGGGAACATCAGGTGGCACACTATGGTTCCTCAAAACCAGAAAAACGAAGGCTATCCACCTTACACTCACTTTTCAATGTCACTGTTCTTACAGGTCTTCTGCATGGTCTCCTGTTTACTGCTTTCACCGTTACTCGTCGAGGGCATTTCTGTTGAGGGAAGAACAGACAAATTAGCAAGAGAACATTTGATCATTGCAATGAAATAGTCTGAGCGAGTTACAGTTTCAGAAGCTGAAACTGTAACTCACAGACACTGATGAGTCATTTTCATACCAATTCTTGGAAAGAGAGACCGAGGCTACGTGTCCCTGTCTGGCAGGGAGGCCCTCTCTCTGACCAGCATGCCTCTATGATCCGGGGCTGCAGATACAACCCCTACCCTCTCCCCTCTCCATACTAACTGACTCTCCCAGATGTACCTACTGTTTAAGCCAGGATTTAATTCAGAAAGGCTTGATGCAGCTGTCACGCGAAAGTGTACTTCTAGAAAGATGGATCCAGAACACATACACCCAGTCTAGACCCTGCTTTCAGCTTCTTTTTCTGAGACACCTCAGACACAGACAGTGATAAAAATATATGCCAGGTAACTAGTGCAACAGAATACTCTGCTCATGGCTCTCCAAGTACTAGCAGTCCTATGGCTCCTCCCAGCACAGGAGGGGCTGTGAGATACCAGTTGGAGATAAGGCAGATGAACTGTCCTGAGGCCAGTCCCTGGGCTGCAGATTGAGCACCATGGTCTCAGGTAAAAGGTATGAAGACAACAGCTCACAGCAAATACCATCAAGGCTGCATCCTCATCACCTCTGTGGCTGTAGTTACTGAAATGTAACACACCTACAAGCAAGAGCTCCTACATCACAGAAAATAAATGTGATTGCCTACCCCACAGAAGAAAATGCCTGCAATAGATATCCTATGTTCTCCATTTAATCATCATGCCCTTGGCAAAACTAGTTCTATCCACCCCCCACTCCCACTGCAAGCAGTTATGTCTTGCAGGTACTTTCAAGGCTGGCAATCAAATGCCCGAAGCATTACAGTAACAGAACAGAGAACAAAATCATTGGGACAAGTCTCTTCAGGTCGCTGAGCTTCAGTTCCCTTCCTAAGGGAGCTGGAGCAGCACTGCCCAGCTCTGGAAATGGATTTGGCATCTACAGCTGGAAAGCGCCAGGTTTTATTATTCTCATATTTCCACTAGGTTTCTGCTTACACTTCCAGTGCTGCTGGCATTAAATAAAATAAAGTAGCAGTCGAATAGGTTTAACCACCACTCTCCCCCCGCCCCCCCCCTTAATACTATGAGCTTTCAAATAATGCACACAAAGGTACAATTTCACCATGAGACTCGTTTGCTCTGGAGTCTCAACTAGAGGTCATGAAGTAGGACAGATCCTAGAGCTCCCACTCTAAAGGTGCAGGCTTCAGAGCCGCAGGCTTTTCTTGCCATAGAGAGGTCAGCAAGCACAAGACCCACCCAACACATCATGATACAAGTCTCTAGCACACCCTTTTAAAGAAGGGAAGGTGATAAGAAAGCCATTGAAAAAAAAAAAAAAAAAAACAAGCAACAGGTGCCTGTGTAGTTTAAAACCCAGCAGCTGAACACCACTACCACATAGTTAAGCCCTGATGGCTCCCTCTGTGATACAGCAGTTTGTCTTTCAGTTATGCGACAGCAAGTCAATTCAATCCCTATCCCTTAACATCATACCAGTTAAGGCTGCATTTTTGGGAACTCCCCCGGCTGCCACTGTCTAGTTAATTGTGCTGTAAAGTTTCAAAAAGAGTGTGATTGTATACACATTCTGTGCAAGAGCATTTGTAACTACCATTTGCCTAGTTACTTGCAATCAGAAGATATGGAACATCTATCTGCCCTCCTGTAGCATACAAATTAATAATTTACAAGTTCAACACTCACCGTCGCTAGCCCATTTAGAAAACTCCGGTGTTATTCGAGTACTGGGTGTGCCACCACTAAAAGAGAAAAGGGCAGAATGCTAAAGGTTGAACATGAAAAATTTTGCTGCTCAGGAAAAGCCACCCCTTCCACCCACCACTTCTCTCTCAATACTTCTATCCATCAGTATAGGCTTCAAAATATGAGCAGCTGACCTGCTGCAGGAGGTGGTTTTGTGCTAGTCCACATTTCCACCAGTGTTCTCCCAACCTTCACTTCTAGCTGTGACCTCTGCTGAATCACACGGGGGATGTGATGCTTCCTGAAGGCTTGGGATTCAAACAGCATCTATGACCCAATGCTCATTTTTGAATACACAATTTCAAAGATGAAAACCTTACTCATGAACAGAAATCTTCTGTGTTGCAATAGCTTCTCCCTTTAAGAATAACTTTACACCTTCATAAGCCCCATCTTTTCCATCTTCCCATTTGAAGAACAGCAGCACTGAAGCACAGTCAACTCCTAACCCTGTCCAATCACTTGCAAGCCAGTAACAGAGACTGTAAGAGAAAGGAATCTTCTGAGCAGGCTGCACACCTATGACTGCATAACATTTTAGCTTTATGTGCTAAGACAGTTGCACTCGTAAGCTAACACAGGCTCACGCTTCACAGTATCAGCTAGCCAATGGCATTTCTACAGAAACTTGCCAGCATTTCAAGTTGCTTTTACAAGCAACATCACCTCCCATTTTAGAGATGGGCAAACAAGCCCAGGAGATAGGCAAAGACCTCGCCCAAACGGCCATACAATGCGTTAGGAGCAAGCCACTTGAAGGAACTGGGTCTCCCGGCCTCAGGTCCTCAGTCGTCTCACCAACTAACAAATGTCCACAACCACTGATAAGGAATACCCTGATATCCTCCTGCTACAATACTACTGTCCTGGCTGTGAAGGAGCTTCAGCATCTTTGAGGCCCTGCCTATGGACTAGCACAGATAGCAAAGTATCGAACGGACCAATGGTTTGGATCCAGTGTGACAAATGCTGCTTTTCTATGGAGTGGAACCTAGTTTTGAACTAGCATTTGTGACAGGCTAAGCAGCAAGAAAACTTAATTTCACTGCTCTATCAATCACTTCAACCTTGACCTCACAGGATCACTCAGTGAAACAGATAGAGGGGGGTAATTTAAGCCCTGTTTTATGCAGGGCAGAGGGCTTAGAAAGCAATCCTAGCTCCCCGTTAACTCATTTTATTTGCCTGAAATGCTTCCCCAAGTGCCCTGAATGCTGGCTGCCTGCATTCTCCACATATGTATGGTAGGTAGAGCACACATCCTGCCCCAGCCCTAGAGCCAAATGCAGGACGATTAGTTTGCGTACCCCACAACATGTAATGGAATGCAATGAAATCATACCCTGGGTGCCAGACTCCTGATGTGCTGAACAAGATTCAGAAAGCATCACATTATCCTACTACTCAGAGGCCACATTTCATCGTGAAGCAAGATGGCCTTCGTACAGCACAGCTTCCCCACTGTCAGAATTAATCTTCTGTCCAGCACTGTTCAGGGAGAAGACAGCACTGGCTGGGCGGTGGGGTGGTTAAGGGAGGCTTTATGAGAATGCACAGGTAGAAATGGAGACCCACCCATCACACTGTGCTTCTTTGCAAGTCTCTCTTGCTGCAGACCTTGTGCTCGAGTGAACTGCTATTTTCCACAAATTGAGATTCCCCCAAAATAATGAAAGCAAATTAGAAAGGCACAGTACTTACTTTAAAACAGCACCTCGGAGCGCCTCCCTCTCTTTGGCTTCACCTGGCTCTTCCCCAGTGCAAGGGATAACGTCTGCCTCTGTGTACCTGAGCACAAGGGGTTAAGGAACATACAGCCTTGCTGCAGACAGGGGAAAAGCTTTTGAGATGGTTAGAACACTATCTGGGCTACAGAACAAATTAATTCCAACTGGGAACACCTCAAAAAAAGAGGGGCTGGTATCCATGGAGGGACTTGCCTTTAAATTCCATATTGTTTTGTCTTAGGTGGAAAGAAACAGAAAAATCTTTTGACAGCAACATGATGCCACAGCCTTTTATAAGGGGAACCAACTACTCAACCTCTGCAAGCCTAGCTTGCACAATTCCGCTATTTCTGTTTGAGGTACAGAGCTCTCTCATCAGCTATCGGTTGGGGCTGCAGTCTTAAAGGCTGGTACAGATTTCAATAAAATCTCTAATTCTATAGCTATATATTCCTCCTCATCACAGCTGAGTCAATGTCTGTCAAATATCCTTGCAGGAGTTCCTCCCCGATAGCTGTTGCAGGGCAGAAGTCTGCCCACAAGTCTCCCAGAGCTGTGTCTGAAGATCCTGGCTCCTAGATGTAGAAGTTCCCCAAACCTGCCCTTAGTGATAGTTCTGCCCATGAGCTGTCTAATGAAAGGAAAAAAATCCAGTCTCTCAGAGTGACAGATGAATAGTGTTTTTTATGTTTACTGCACAAAATCCCTGAAAACAAAGGGGCGTCTTGTGGAAAAGAAACACAATTCCTACCCATGAAACACAAAAAGATATCCATATGGAGGAGACCTGGATGGAGACAACAGATTGCTTATGAAACAGAATAGAGAAACACTAATTTTGATCTCCTGCAATGTCTGCTGCCAACTTCACCAACTGCGCCTGAAGGAGTGCTGTATCAACAGAAGGATCTCAAAGGGAGTAACTGGGAATCCCTCCTAGTTCAAACAACATGGTAACTGGAGAAGATGGCATCGTTTTCAGTAGGGCTGGACACAGATTATCCACCACCACCCAGGACACTGCTGTATGAAAGCTAGCTGAAGATGCACCTCTAGGTTCCCTCTCAGTAAGAGCCTTTCAAAAACGATACTGTGGTTTCCCGTATTCAAGTGTGTCGTCTCCATCCACATCCAGGTCAGCGTCGCTGTCTGGATTCTCCTTGCCACTGCACATGATAAACCCAGAACCTGGAAGAGAACAAAACACGTGGATGAGCATCTGAATTGCAGATGAAGTGCAGGAGGTCTCCTACGGATGGTGCGACAGCACCAGTTTGCAGGCTGTCCTTTACTCCTAACAGCCTCACAAAAGGTATCATCTCCAAAGACTGCAAAAAAACAATTTTCAGAACACTGCACAGAAAACACTCAGAGAAATGCTCCAACTTCTTGGATTTTATGCTCTAAAATGCCCCTCAACACTGAAAACGAAATATTCTTGACCTTTTGCTCTCCACACAAGTTATTTTAAAGTTGAAGGCATTGGAAGGGTCTCTCTCAAAGGGAGAAAAAAAGTAAAGCAAAATAGGGAAGACTGATTTTTCATAGAAGTGCTTAACGTAAAAAGTACACTACTAGGAGGTAAGAGAAAGCCACAGGGACATTCTGAATTAGTCCTTAATTCAGATGCACAGGGCAGGCAATGGCCAAAATACAGTTAGAAATACCTTTTCCTTCTTTAAATACGTTTAGTCATGGCTTACATTTTTACAATATAAAACATTTAAGAATAGCAAACGTGGTTCTAGGAGGGAAAAAAAAACCAACACAACAAAAAACTCCAGTTATTAGCAGCTCCTTACAAGCACTTCTTACACGAGCAAATTCCAGCGCAAGCCAGTAAGTCCTGCACTCCCGTGACGGGTGGATCAGCTCCAAGAGGAGCCAGCAGGAAGCAAGCATGAACGGTTCCCCTCAAGACTGAGCTGTGTAATCACTGCTGCTTTTTAACAATATATGCATTTATTTTGCTTCTCAAGCACTTTGTTGACTGTGCTATTGCTGATTGTAACCAGGCTTCTTTTAATTGCATCCGTGTGCAAACACCTACAAAAATGAACCTTTACATGGTATTTGCTGCCTAAGGTGTATTAATAGAAGGGAAACTAAGGAAGACATGTATTTACTCTTCATGAGACACTGGATATGCTTTCTCCCATGAGACTGGAAATTAAACAAAGATCTCCTGAATTCTAGGGTGGTGCAAGGTCCTCATTCGTGTTCAATATTTGTGTTCAGTTCTGCAGCAGATCTAAGCTGTTTGGGGGCATAAGCTATGCAGATAGAAATTTGCTCACTCTGGCTGCCTCCAGTACACTCCTTCCCGTAGCACCCCTCTGCCCAGACAGCAGACCTGGACTCCACGCCCACAGACAAGAGGGGACCTGCTGGAGCCTGAAGGACCTGACAGATGCAGATGGCTGGTGACCTAAGCCTGTGGTTAGAACAGGGAGCACATCCCACCTGCAAACACCGAAAGAGTAAGGTAGACGTAGTCTTGGCTTTGCACAAATGCCCCAAAGCGGGTGCATTCCTACACTGTGAATGTAGTTCTAAATGCAGAAGACAGGCTAAAATTAATGTAGAAGCACTGAGTACAAGGTGCATGTCTGAAGAATGAGGACATTCCCAGGCATCAGCGTAGCCCTTTTAGGGCTACAGATGTTTGAGTCTGTTTATCCCACAGGGCTCTCACCAGCACCTTTACACAAGCTTGTGCTGTCAGCAGCAAACTTGCACTTTCCCAGCTCAGAAAAGTGAGCTATATTTCTAATAGTCTCCATCTGTGCAGAGAGCAGGGCAAGGCGAAGGTCTCATTTCCAAGGACACCATGCAGACACAGTTCTTTACTGTCGCTCTCTAGGAACGGATGCTCTCGCTGATTCATTAAGCCACCAATAAAATTTGTTTATATGGATTTGATATTTCTCTTCCCTGAATATAAAGAAGGTCCTTAACGAGTGACAACCGTAGCATGACAATGATTTTAAGACTAACCTTTCCCTAGAAGCATAAACTACCTTTTACTTCAAAGTAATTGCCAGCCTTAATTTTCAGCAGAGGTAACAAAACTAGCTTTGACAATGCAGCACCCACCGCCTGCGCCGGGAGCCATGCTTGTAGGTCAGCCCTGCCTGGTCTCTGGGGCAGCCCTCTCCCAGTAGACCCCTTACAAAGTGTTTCACATAACGGCTGCACGCTGCCAGCCAACTCGTCACGAGCTGCCTTCTCTTTCTGCAGTGGCTCATCTAGTAAATCTTGACTCCTTCAGTTCATCACAATGTTTGGGAGAAGATTTAGAGGAGTAAGAGAAACCTGCCAAAGAAGCTGGATAGTTTTTCAAAGCTGCCTTAGAAGTCACAGTGGGCAATGGGGTGGTAATTTACAGGCATGGCATTCAACCTGCAGTAACACCATCCCCTGCACCTGGCATTACTTTAGCCCATCACTTCTCAAAGGCCATAAACTTTGGACACACAGGTCTTCATTTTTCTTGTAGCTGTGGGAAACACAAATCATGCAAAGCTGGAGCTGTGACTTGGCCAGTCCCAGAGGCGATCTGAATGTTAGCCAGACAATGAATACTTGGAGCAAGTGCCTTGGGGCAGGGGAGGAAAAGGAGTCCAAAAGAGTGAACGTAAGTGGGACCGCTCCCCGTGTCCCTCTCTCTGCAAGGATGCCAAGCACACAGGAAACATGCACCCTTCCATCAATTTTGTTTCCAAGTGACTCAAGCCAACTAGTGGTTTATGGTTAGAGCTTAAGAAAAGAAGATCTGCTTACTGTGATACAATTTACAAATATTAAGGCACCTTGACTTCAGAATCCTGGTGTCCTTGCTCTCAAAACCTTTGTACTTAAGAAAATCCCTTTTAAATCTGAAAGGAAAATACTCCAGAGCTTTTGCTGAATCTGTAATAGGAACCACTGCATTGCCAACAGAGAACTATCCTCCCTACACAGGGATGGTACAGGGGAAGGGTTTGGACAGTATGTGTTACAATGGCGGATACACACTGGGATGATTTGATACAACATTTCAGTCAGAGATGAGGGCATAGCAGAGGCATTCATAGGTTAAGATGAGGGGCAGGAGAAGGGTAAATTTTCTGATCAAATGAGGACTCCCAGGCCAATGCCTAAAGGAAGTCACAATAAGGTGATCCAACTCTCAGATTTTCACCAAATATGGGTTTTAGGTTTTTCTTTTTTTTTTTTTTTTTTTTTTTCTGAACATGACCAAGTGCAGTCCATTGCAACATGGAAAAAAAAAAAGCCTGACTTGGAAACTGTATGCTAAACAAAGTCTTTTCTGGGTTTACAGAGGTTAAGATGAATATAAGCTGTGCTATCTGTTCTGGGACTTCAGAGGCTGCTTTAGAAAAAGGAAAAACAAAATCTGCAAAATATGTTTCCGATATGAATCAAAAGGTCCATAAATCCCAGTACTGCCACTGCACATAAGAGAACACCAAAGAACAGGATGCAAAGCTTGGTCTAGCATCAACCACAGAGCAAATGGCCTGCCACTAGCATCCTAATGCCCCTTCATCTGCAGCAGAGATGGATTTTGAGGCCAGTTCCGGCAGGCTGGGGTTTAGTGCCACAATTTCAACCTGACCCTCCTTGTCTAACTTCCTGGGGTTGCTTCCATGCACAAAGCCAGTGAAAACACCCACGCAGCTGTTCAAATATTTGACGTCTGAACTGCTTGACATTATTCATTCATCTCAGGCTCATTCAAACCAGATTTCTGGACAAGTGCTGTTATAAATGGATTAAGAGGACCACTAAATGCAAGGAGGGCCCGATAGGATCACACCTGCTTCTCACTAACTCAGCCCAAGTGTAAAGAGGGCTCACAACTTCCAGCTCCTGCCGGTGGCATACACTGCCATCCAGGAGTAAGGAAAATGTGAAATGGAATGTGCAGGGTGTTGAGCAGAATAAAATGGCCTTTGCAACAGCACTGTTTCGGACCTACTAGAGGAGAAGGGGAGCGTCCAGAAGACCCCCTACCAGTACACTCGGGTGATTTGCAATTTAACAGAGTGCACGGGGAATGGGAAAGGGTTCCTCCAGCCAGGCTCGGCTTCTGAAGGTCATGCAGTAATTCATGGCCATCAGCAGTGCTGCCTACAGCAGACCTCTAAAGCCAGTGCCGTTATCCAGAGGTCAATGCTTGGGACCAGAACTTTATCCCAATGTGTTAATAAAGTGAAATCCGACAACTGAATGTTAAGTTGTGAGCCTGACATAGGAATTCACAAGAGACATGATCTGTTATTCACAGAAGCAGCTTCGACTCTTACAAGGAGAGTCACCAACAGCATGAGGAACGTAATTCCGCATGTGAATTTGAAAAAGCTGCTTTCTGATGAAGAAAGAACAAACCAAAATGCAGACTCTCCTGTATCTTTCCCTTTTCTTGTTGAAGAATTTTTCGCTCTTGCCATGCATTTGCTAGGAGGCAACCGCTTGTCATACGCTGCCAATCCCAACACAATTAGCCTCCTGATGCTAAAGCAGCGCAATCCTCTGACAGTCTTAATCCCAGCTGCCTCCTTAAGGTCCAGACAAACAGGAGTGAGCAGGCAGGTCAGACGCTGGGGCCATTAAGCAGAGAAAAAACAAAGTTACAGCTCTGTCTCCAATCCCCATTGCTCTTGTAGCCAGGTGCTCTGACAAGCAATTCCAGCACTGGTATTGAGTGGCACCTCTATAAACCCTGTGACAGTTTGGGAGACAAACTCCCCCATCAATCAGAATGTACCTATCAAGATCACTTACCTAGAACGCCCGCCACCCTCCAGCACTGTGTACACAGCTTTGCTTGGGCTGGCCTCGGAGCAGTCTGCCTAAGCACCAATTCAAGTTAGTTTCTGAAAAATTTAGGTACTCTACACAAGCAACAGCATTTCTGAAATAGTGACTTAGAGATCCGAAAAGCAGAAAAAAATCTAATGTTTCTTCGCTACCGCCAGGGTGCAGGTACTGTCAGGCTATAGGAATCATCTGAGCTTTAAGAAGACTGAAGAACACTTCCCACTTTCTTCCATATCCCTATTAATAATGGCTGGAGATAAATCTCATCAGAAATCCTTTTTTCCCCCTTTCCCTAAGTGTCATAAGCACTTTTCTTTCTCCTAAACTGTTCCCTAAGCCTAAGCATCCTCTCTGACCTCTGC